CGCGCCCCCTTGCAGTTTTTTACACCCAAATTTCCTCTTTTTATTTGATTTTTGTTGTTGTTGTTCAGAGACTGTTAATTTCTAACAAACTTTTACATGCTACTTGGGTATATATTTTATATGTAGGTTTTGTATTTTCTTTCTGGTGATGGTTGTACTAGGAACCAATACTCCAATCAGAATTGGGAAGGTCAGATTAGTTGTTTTAGAGTGCTGTCAATCTAACATGAAAAAAATAGAGCAAATTTAGAAAACAATGAAGGAGACCATTTGCAATTGGCTAAATCTATTTCTTCATTGTGTCATATCATGAATCACCAACAAACAAATCTCTTTTCAAATATCAATTAATTTTATAAAACATATAAAAGAATCGCATTATAAAAACTAAAATCAGGGGCTGGGGTTGTGGCTCAGTGATAGAGTGCTTGCCTAGCATGGGTGAGGCACTGGGTTTGATACTCAGCACCACATAAAAATCAAATAAAGTTATTGTGTCTATCTACAGCTAAAAAATAAATAGTTAAAAAAAAAAACTAAAATCAAGCACTCACTGCCAAGATTCCATTTCCTAGAAGTTCTCTCTGTTTTAAATACTTAACACTTCTGATTCTTATTTACACATTTTAGTTGATATGTGCTAAAGATAACAGGAAATGAAAAACAGGAACTCCAGTTAAAAAGCTGTAGGGCTAAAGCTCCTTACTCTCAATTTCAAAATTCACTGTAGGGGCAGTACTTAAATTTAGCACTAGTTCTCTTTTTTGTTAAATGGTCAACACTTTCCTATTTATGTATCAATTTATACTAGAACTTGAGTTTATTTTATTTCATTTTTCAAAAACTGGGATGTTTAGTTTTCTTTTAATTCAAATATGCTCTTTACAAGGTAGCTTGTAAAGAAGATAATGTATATTTGTTAATTGGGTATGTATTTAGATTAATAATTGCCTAATAAATTAAAAATACAGAATACAGTTAAGAATTGAAGTAAGCATATAGAAATGTTTTTTAAGATGAATTTTCAAGTTATGTTAGAAAATGGAATCTTTATCTATTTTAGGGAGTACACCTTTAGGATGTTATAAAAAACTAATAGAATATCACAAGAGTGGAGACCTTTCTTTTAAATATGTGAAGACTTTTAACATGGATGAATATGTAGGTAAGCTCTTCTTGAATTACATATTATGTTTTTAATTAAATGAATATATTTTTAGAAAATATATATATTTAATTTATGTCTTGAATATAATAGGAATATACCACTTCATGTTGAGATTGGGAATTCACATAAAAATTTGTATTTTTTATGTGGATAACACATATAGTAGCAAGAATACAAGAGGAGAATACATGACTGGCCACTTACCAGTCATGCAACTTTGAGCCAATCCATTCACATTTTATGGTCTCTTTTTCTCTCTCTTTTTTCCCTTAAGGCACAGTTAAAACTAGTGATGTGAGGATAAATTAATGTATGTAAAAGTAATTAGTAAAATATATGTTTCAGATTAAAAACCATATGTAACTGTGAAGCTTTTTTTTTTAATAATGTATTGAGTGTTATCTTGCTTAACTGGGAAGATCTCTGATTCATAGAAATTCTGTTAAAATATAAATATAGGAATACACTTTTAACAGAAACATAAGTGATAGCCCCACAAATTATTATGATTCAATATACTTTTCATAGATATGGGAGGAATAGAGTAGTAACATAGCCAACATTTAGTTGAAGAGTTAATTTAACAAATTTAGTTAATTTAATAAACATTAATTTAATAAATTTAATTTAGTAAATTAGCTTCACTGCTGAAAACTTCATGTGTTCAAGAAATGTATAGTGATTAAGTACACATGGCCTACACTGCCTGTGTTTGTATTCCAACCCCTCTGTGAGCTACTACCCCTCTATTTTACTTGCTCATCTATAAAATGAGGATAATAATATTTCCATGGGTGTATTATTGTGTTACTACATACCTGGGGTATGTTATAATATTGGGCACATAACAAGCAGGCATTCCACATTAAAAATATTTTTAAATTAAATACAGTGTGAAAAAGCTTTACTTCTGGAAATAGTTACTTTTGTTTATTAAATTCATTTAGGACTTCCAAGAAATCATCCTGAAAGCTACCATTCTTATATGTGGAATAACTTTTTTAAGCATATTGATATAGATCCTAACAATGCTCATATCCTTGATGGAAACGCTGCAGATTTACAAGCAGAATGTGATGCATTTGAAAAGAAAATAAAAGAAGCTGGAGGAATTGATCTCTTTGTTGGAGGTATGTAAACAATTTTGCCACTAATTATTTGGTTTTTAATTCTTGAATTAGTATTTTAAAATTTAAAAAAAAATCTTAACTTTGTATAATACTCAGAAATAGCCTGACTTCCATTTTTTAATTTTCATCAAACATAATCTTAAAATTCTAATAGTAAATGTTCAGAATTGCTTAAATTATATTTTGAGAGGTAGGTCCCAGTCCCTGTTATAGTTTTCTAATTATCTCTTTAAGTTTGATAGTTTACCACATCATAAAAAATGAATGACCCGTTTACTTCCTAAATGATAGCTTTATCTTTAATATTTAATACTCCAGTGCAGCCTATTTATCAAATTAGAGTTGAATCTAAAAGTTTGCATAAGAAATGGGTAGATTGTAGCAGGTCACTTAAATTGTTTCATCTCACTAAGAAAAATCAGATTACAATGATCTAAGTCTTTTTATTTATCATCAACCTTTAGATAGTATGAGTTAAACTATGTAATAATTTTAATAAATTCCAGTGTATGAATATTAAATTGACCAAATTTCACTTATAATTTATGTGTGTATATAAATATATATTTTTTATATGTGTGTGTGTATGTGTGTATGCATAATGTACTAAAAATAGGAATGTCTTCCTTTGTAATAACATGATTTTCTATTATCAGTACAAAGCATCTGAGACATCTAGCCAGTTGCCATCTGAATAGTGTATCAACTAAGCTAAAGCCAAAATTATTTTCACTAGAGTTTTTAGTATTCAACTAAAATACTAATGCTTTAAATTAACATATATTACCTATCTGAATATATATATTTTATAATTTACTTATTAGAAAAACACTCATAATTACATGAATTGGAAATATGTTAGTTTATGATTGGAATAATTGAGTATGTTTGATGTAGTTGGTTGCAAAATTGGGTTTTGCTGTGAGATATAAATTTACATCCTATTTTGGCCACTTGCTCTCTGCATGTCCATGGTAAGTTTATTGAAGTTCACTGTGTTTATAAATAAGATTAATATTAACTGTTCCAAAATCTGTGAAAATTAATCACACCATAACATATTTGAAACAGAGCTTAATATATATTGATGCTCTGTAGTTATTTCTTCAGTCTTGTTCTTTTTTCTAAACTACAGCTGCTGACATAGTTCTCTCTCCTGAGGTTTTTATTAAATTAGTGACAGGTTACTGAATAAGATAAAAAAATCTTTGAGGAAATATATCATTTATTTTCTTGTGTAGATAGAATGTCTATTTATATGAGCAAGAATCCAAGTTAAACTATTTTGTTTTTCAAAATAGAAAGTTATATATGTTTTAAATAAAATTTCCTAGTATTACTTAAGCAAACCTTAAAGGAGTGCTTACATGTTCCAGTTTTATACATATGGATCATTTTGACGTAATTACCATTTGCACCAGAGACAATAAATGTTTGAGAATGTTTAGGGAGTATACTAACCATCCACGCTTTAGATTATCTAAACTCCATACCAAACTGAAGTAGAATCACTGACCTAACCTGTTTATCTTACTTTTATTGAGAATTGTTTTCACTTATTTCTTTGGGCCAAAGAAAGCAGTTATAGTTGTTAGAGGTTGTTAGCTGTTAGAGGTTGCTTATTAAACATGGAAAAAAAATGTCTTCATTGTGGAATTTTATTTTCCTTGTTAATTTATTGACCTTATATAAGAATCTAGTGCCAGGAAGTAGAGTTTAAAAATGTGATAAGATCTCCCTATTTTGTTCTTTGCCATCTTTCCAGAAAGCATTCGTAGCTTAGTGTAATTTTAAAAACAGTAGCTCACTTATCCCAGATTTTGATAGAACACTTTTCATTCCATATAGCTCTAAGTCATTTCTCATATGTTTTTTTAGATAAATGTTTTGGGAAGGTTTCCTCACTACAGCACCTCAGTTTTCCTTTCAAAGTAGATTGAGCATGAATTATAATTTTTTATAGTTATCACTGACTACTTAAAAAAAAATAGATTTTTTAAAACCAGGTTGTCTTAAGCTTTCTATAGTCATCTCCCCCACACCAAAAAAGAAGAAAAAAGAGAAAGAGGGGGAAAAAAAACAAAAAAACTTTTTCAGAGAGTTCCCTTGTCTCCTCCATTAACAACCTCACTATAGTCTGATAAACCCAGGTCTGACATTGTCCATATACCATCTAAAGTCTATAATTACTCTGCATGAAAAGAGAAAGGTTAGCTTACTAAATTTTCTTCTTCTACTTGGGATAACCTATTTATTAGATATGTATTCATGAAAGAATCTCATTTGATTCTTTTCCTTTGTTGATCTAGGTTTGTTATCATTGGACTTTTCAAGATGAGGCTTGATATCAGGGTCTTACCACTTACCCTTCTTTTGTTCCAGGGTTTGGTTAATAAAAACACTTAAGAACTGTGCCAAATGGGATCAAAATATCAGCTTTATTAAAGGTAAAGTTGGACTAGAGATTGCAGGTTGGCTTGAAGCCAGAATGGGGTTTTCTCCTCCTCCCCTCTGAATTGGAAACAGAACTTAGAAGAGCTGAAGAATGTTAATCTACTCCAGGGAATTAGAGCAGGAGTTTTCTTCTCTTGGTAAAAAAGAGAAACGAGGAAGTACATCTTCTTAAAAGTTCTTATTCTTCCTCTAATGGCAAAAGTGTTCAAAGAGAGGGTAAAGTATAACATGACTTCTTAACGTACCCAAGTAACAAGATACACAAACGTGGCATTTTCTAAATAAAATATATTAACATAAGAAATATCTCAAAGTATTTTTTTTAAGTGAAAACAGTAGGAAAAACTTCCAACCTTTTGTTTTTTTGGTTACATGAGTGAATTCTTTGGTTGCCAGTGATATGGACAGACTAATGGGACCAGAAGTGAATTAGTTGGAATGATTCTGAGGCAACTCAAAACCGAAGGAAGAGTTGAAACAATAAGTTTTTGGAAAAAATAAGTCTTTGGAAAAATAAGAATCAGAGAACCTAAGATCTCAAAAGTAAGAACTCATCAATCTTTTCTCTGTAGTGCTCTCATCCTGTGCCTCAATTCTAGATGTCTTCTGATTTTTTTTTTTTGTATTCCAGGTCAAGATTCTAATATGGAGAGCAGTTATAGATTTGTTTATCTTGGGGCAAGTGCTTATATCTAGACAATAATCTCTATCTAAAAGGGACATAGGAAATGATAATTGTTCCCTTGTGGTGAGGGAAGTAGAGCAACAAGTGGGAGAAACTACTGAGTCTGCCAAAAAATAAAAATTATCCATTCATTTATTCAGCCATTATCTATTTAGTACCTCCTATATGTAATATATTGTTCTCCTGAACTTTACATACTACCCACAGAACTATAATAACATAGGAAAGACATATATATAATCCACACAGTGAATTTTTGAGATGTTTCATATAGATGCTGATATCTCACTTTAGACCTAAAGACCAAAGAGTAATTAGCCGAATTATATACGTGTGTATATGTATATTTTAAGTGTACATATATAATATATGTAATCAGAGACCTTAGTTTTTGAGTTATCCATGTCCAGTAAACAAATGTGTCAAGGCTTTTCTGTTAACTATGCTCATAGCTTCAGCTTAGCTGCACACTTTTATATGGCCCAAATCACCAGTGAGAGCTCCAGTGTTGATCTTAGTACACTTAACCGTTTTTTTTTTTTTCTTTTGAAGCTTTTATTCTCCTGGTTCCATCCTTTCCTCTTTACACATGTAAATATAGATGTAAATATAAATATATGTATATCTAAGAAATAATTTTATTAGGAACCTAGAAATTTACAATTATAATTAAAACATATTTAGATGCAAATATTTACTTAATAGTTGAAAAAATATGCATATTTATCACATGTGTGTCCTCACATTAAAAAGGTATGTCCCCACATTAAAATTTCCTGGATTTTTTGTGCTTTGGTGGTCTATATTTGCTTAACAGCTTATTTATTTATTCATCATTCTTTAAAACTAGGTTATTCTATGTCATATTTTACCTTGATTTGGGCTGGGAAATTCTCCCACTAAGACTGAGAATAGTTCTGTGTGATTTTTTGTTGTTGTTGTTTTAATTATATTTTAGATAGATGTGTGTGTGTGTGTGTGTGTGTGTGTGTGTGTGTGTGTGATATGTGTGTATGTGTACATTATAGTGTCAAATGTTATTGACATAGATTATAGTGAAAAATGTTTGAAAAAAAATACTCTCCTAATAGTTTCTTTTCTTTCTTTCTTTCTTTTTTTTTTTTTTTTTGATGCTTATATATTTTGGTGTGATTACAGTGCAGAATTAGTGATATTTTGGTTGCATTATATTTGCAATAAAAATATTATCTTGTTCAATGTATACATTGTTTTAATTGAGGAAACTATACTACACAGATTCTACTAGTTTATTGCCCCTTCTGGACTAAAGTGTGAGTATAAAGACCACTTGGTTAGCCAGGCGTGGTGGTGCACATCTGTAATCCCAGTGGCTTGGGAGGCTGAAGCAGAAGGATTGCAAGTTCAAAGCCAGCCTCAGCAACTTAGGCCCTAAGCAGCTCAGTGAGGTCCTGTTTCTAAATAAAATATAAAAAGGGCTGGGGACATGGTTCAGTAATTAAGCACCCTGGGTTCAATTCCCAGTTTAAAAAAACAACAACACTGTGTTAGGAATCAGAAGACTTGAATTTGAGTTTATATTTACCAAATTATGATCTTAAATGAGTCTCTTATTTACCTTAAGCATCAAAGATTTCTGTCTGTGTTAATAAAAAGTGAAGGACTTGAAGGAAATAGTTATGCCTAATCTTGTCATCTCATAAGATTGTTACACATATGTTGTGATGATGTATGTGAAAATACTGTTATGAATTGTTATTAAGGTAGTACTTAATTTTACTGCTGTTATTAGAATCATACCAGATCAATGTTATGCTTATAGAAAAAAATGGAAATATTTTATTGAATGAAATGCAGAAACACATTTTAATGCAGTATATTTCTGCTATAAATTGTGACAAGGTAAGTGTGTTATGAATTTTTGCTCATAAAACCGTGTTAAATCTTGAGACAATTTAAATGAGAGAAAAATAATAATTTTTTTTTTTTGGTATGTGTGTATTTCTTTTTAAAGGAATTGGTCCAGATGGTCATATCGCTTTCAATGAGCCAGGATCCAGTTTAGTGTCAAGGACAAGATTAAAGACTCTAGCAATGGATACCATTTTGGCAAATGCTAAATATTTTGATGGAGATTTGTCAAAAGTGCCAACTATGGCCCTCACTGTTGGTGTGGGGACAGTGATGGATGCTAGAGAAGTAAGAATTCTATGTTCTTTATATATTATTTTGATGTTTATGTATTTTGGAGTAATTGTCATGCAGAATGATTGATATTTAGTCACATTCTCTTTTTTAGTGTTTTTTTTTTTTTTTTTTTTTTTTAGTGTTCAGCTTTTTTGTCAGTCTCACAGTTAGATTTAGAAATCAACTAACTTTATCTTTTGGAGCTATAAAGAATTAGCAGCACCTTTTTTTGAGGTACTGCTTCACAGTTGGAGGTCCTAAAATCTTAAGCAATCACATGGTTTGTTTTTAATTGAAATAAACAGTTTTGTGAAAGGATGCTGGGACAGATGCAGTGGTAGCCCACTGTATAATGTGGAGTTCTCAGGATGATTTAGTATACATAGAGGATAGACCAGTTAGTTTCTAGCTGAAAAGGAACCCATCGAATCCTAGATCTATTCTAAATTTAATGCACATGCTCTGAAAAGTAGACCCTGTCAAATTTTTAAGTTTTTTAAATTCATTTGTCATTACCTTCCTTGAGAATAACAGGAAAAATTATAGTCAGTTTATGATTATTAGTGGTTAAATTATGTGGAAGCCTAGAAATCAGTTATTTTCTGGTAGCCAGATTGGATAGCTCAAAGTGGACAAAGTATTATTAAAAAGTCTATTTTAATTATACTTAGACTTGAACATATAAATAGAATTATCATTGAAATATGGGTATTTCTCATCTAAATATCATAAGTATTTGAAAAATGTCTTTTAATGAATGAAATTTATAGTAAATAAGTTAGAAAAAACATTTTAGAACAATTTTATTTCTGAAAAATGAAACAAAGTTTTCTAACATTTAACAAGATATGTTTTAATCCAATTCTTATGTTTATTTTTAGAATGAACAGAATATTCAAATACTGATTTTTCCTCCTACTTTGAATCAATTTTTCCAACAAAATTATGATGTCATTCACCTAACAGCATTTTTTTCTAAGTATAACTGGAAATTATCATTATAAAACTATTCCAGGGCTATGTCATTTTGCTTAGGACCTATCTTAGTTCTTTGACTTTTTTCATAGCATTCTTTTGAAGCAAGTTTTTTTATTTATTGATTTTTTTCTATCTTTAATTATAATGCTTTAATTTATTCATATTCTCTTTTCCTTTTTCTTTCGTGTCATTTTCTTTAATAGCACATTCACTTAGCTACTGTTAAGTGGAAAGATTTAAATATAGAACTGAATTCAAGTAGTGAATTCATTGATATACATATTCACATCATGGCAGCTCAGATAATGAGGATCTTCTGAACACACCTTAGAAGTTATTTCATATTTCATTAAGATTTTGGAAATTTCAACTAGATTAGGAACCTCATAGGCTAATAGCCTCAATTATCAAACTCTTTCCTTGCTTTGGGGTCTTCACAATGACACTATATCTAGAATGCTCTTTTCCATTCCTTGCATGGCCAACACTGCACCATTTAATTTTCATGTTTTTCTCTTTATCATCATACTCATAGGCAAAATTATTTTCTCTTATTTTGTCATACCACTCTGATATTTTCCTTTAGGTAGCACTTGTCATAATTTGTAATTATTTTCGTATATTTACTGATTTAATATCTGTTTTTTCACTAATTTATACTCTGCATGAATTTATGAGGCATGTATATGTACTCCCTCATACTGTCTGTCACATAATAGGTATTAAGCAACTGCTGGGAATAGTTTGAATGAAATACTTAGGTTCACAATCCATTTTGGACAAAATTGGTCCTATTCACTACAGATTGTTTATCTACCTGAACCACTAGAAATGATTTTTGTTGACTTTTGACTATTTTTCAAAGCCAATTTACCTGGAAAGGAAATTTGGGTCAGGTGCGGTGACTCAAGTTTGTAATCTCAGCAGCTTGAGAGGCTGAGGCAGGGGAATCTCGAGTTCAAAGTCCGTCTCAGCAACTTAAGGAGGCCCTAAGCAACTCAGTGAGATCCTGTCTCTAATAAAATACAAAAAGGGGTTAGGGGATATAGCTCAGTGGTTAAGTGCCCCTGGATTCAATTACAAGTACCAAAAAATTTTAAAAAAATGATTAAAATTTGTTTTTACTAAATTATATTTAAAAATTAGTGCCATATATTATGAAGATAATCCCCCCCAAAGACACAAGTACTTTTAGCTATTGTAACATCTTTAGAATTATTTTATTAGTTGTAATTATTTGCATAGTTATTCTTACGAATTAAAGCAAAGCCAATAAAACTTAAAATCAGCTTTTCACTTCCTTACCGAAAGTCACACAGATTATCAATGATTTCTTAATTACTGAAATTACCATCTTCTCTGCAAGTCCCATCCTAAATCATGCTTGTGTCCAGTCTTCACCTATCCTATTCACTATATTACTTCCTGGATAAGTTTATCAAAAACATTGTTCAGTTTATTATTTATCTGTGTAATTGTGAGTCTCTATTATTCCATCACAGGATCAAATCTAGCCTCTTTGTTTAGCATAAAAGTCTTTGACTTCAGTGTCCAGTGTCCAGCTATTTCCTTTCATTTCCTTGTGCTCCATCCTTACCAAACTTTTAGCTTTTTATTGACTACTCCTTAACTGTTTGAAAGGATCCTGTATATAGAGATTTTGTATTTATTCTTAAACTTGATTTTCTAGAGGAGCTCCTCTAAAACTTTCCTCAACTCCCCCAGAGAGTGTTACATCATGTCACCATTATGCTTTATTACATTTTATGTATTGTACATATTGTATATATTTTATATATTGAGTACAATAGTTTCTTTCTGTATCTCATCTTCTGGCATCCTTGCCATCTTCAGGCTGTATGGTGGGTAAGAATTTAGAAATGAAAATCTGAAAATCATGTATTTTCTGCTTCCTGTTTCTTCCTAGGTAAATATTTAATCCTTAATTTCCTCACATATTAAAAATTGCATTTTTGATTTAAATATCTACTAGGAATGGATACAATGGATTAAAAATAGTTTTATAAGCTATAAATATCTACTTGTTGATGGAATGATTGCTTAAATGTGAACTATCACCCAAATCTGCTTGTCTCATAACCTTTTAAAATAGTGTTAATGCAATACATTTATTATTTAAGTAGCATGAGGCTATATCATTGCAATATCTGCCTGATCATTGATTCTCAAACGTCAGTTCATGCATAAGAATCACCAGTGTTTTTCTTCAGTAACCTGTATTATTACAGAGTTCCTTCCGTAATACATGCATCAGTCTTTAAAGAACACATTGGCTATTAATGCCCAGCAAGAAAAACTAATTTACAGATTCATTAGTTAATGTTTTATTTATCTTATTATATCAAATATAGTTAATTACTGTTTTAAAAGATGAATGTTTTAAGAGATGAATGCTTTATAGATACATTAAATTCTTTTGTTGAGCTTGTATACCTATACATAAGAATAAGATTTATCAATTAAAAAAATTAGTGGAAATCCATACATATCTTAATATATTCATGGACTTGGGTTTAATCAAGATATATCTTCACAGTGAAAACTGAATAGTAAATTGTGATAAAAAAGAAATGTTGTAATATTCTGATCCATTAGTGTTTCATTTCCTCCTAGTTATAAAATATGCACATATATGTGTATAAAATGTGTATGATGTTATACGTATTTTAGAACTGCAAATATCTAATGTTTTTAATTATAAGGCAAATTATGTAAGGATTCATAACATTAATATATTCATGTGTATATTCTAAGTTGTAAAATCAGATTGACTTGCTCCTAAAAAATGATAAAGGGAAGATTCATTTTGACATACATATACACTTAGAGTTACATATGTTCTTTGAATTATTTCATAGGCAGTTAGGAATTTAGGAGCATGAACTTGGTTTTTTTCTAAATTTTAAGTTTCAGGCATATGTGCCTAAAAGGCAACTCCTGTGAGTAAGTGGATCCCTAATTCTCTTTAAGTTCAGTTTTTGTTTGAAACAACTTTGGATAATCATACATGGTCAATGAAATGATCTTAAACACTTTAAATATCTATTGTTTTATAGTCTTTCTGATTTTCTGTAATAGTATCTGGAGTAGAACAATTTGGTGTATCATTCCAAATTATGTAAATTTTTTGAAGACCCATAATTCTTCTTTTGCAAGACATACCCTTTTTCTTGATCCTCCCAGGTATCTTTTACACATCAGTATCCACCATTATAATAATATGCACTTAGATGTCAGAGTTGCCTACTCATCAGGAACAAAATTAAACTATTAATTAACAAGTTATATTCATCACTTTTTAGGTGATGATCCTCATAACAGGTGCACACAAGGCATTTGCCCTGTACAAAGCAATAGAAGAAGGAGTCAATCACATGTGGACTGTTTCAGCTTTCCAGCAGCATCCCCGAACTATTTTTGTATGTGATGAAGATGCTACTTTAGAGTTAAGAGTTAAAACTGTGAAATACTTTAAAGGTGAGCATTGAATATAAAAAGCAATGTTTTGAGATGTTCTGTTATAGATGACAGAATTTAATGTGACTGGGTTTAATTCTACACTGTGGCCTGTTGAAAACTGGAATTGTGCTGATACAATGGCCAGTTTTTTCAATGGATAAAAATTCTCACCTCAGATAATAGTGGCTTTCAGAGTAGGTTCCCTGTATGTGTGTGTGTGTGTGTGTGTGTGTGTGTGTGTGTGTGTGTGTGTGAGAGAGAGAGAGAGAGAGAGAGAGAGATGTCTTTACTTGTATTTTCAGTAAACCCAACTGTTGAAATCCCAAATTTCGGAAAATATTTTACTTTTATACTGAATTTACCATAGTAAATAACCCTACAGGAAGTCTATCTTTGTCTTTTCTGGGTTTGTTTTTATATTTACAAGTTCCATCTTAACCCTCTACCTAGAACCTAATTCATGGTTAAGATGGGTCTCCCACTGTCTCATTTAATTTTAATAATTCCAAACCAATATATTCCTGTAGATTAAAGTTATAATGGCACTAAATTTGAAAGAGTATGGAATAAACTCTGCAGATAGAGTTTGATTTCCCACAATCCTGTGTGATGATTTTCCTTTTGCTTTTTTCTGTAGTCTAGTTCAGTAAGTCTTTCTGTGTATAAAAAAAAAAAACTGCATATACTTGACATAATGGATAGTTTAGGAGATTTTTCAAGTGACAATTTGACTATGTTAAATGGAGACTCCATTCCCTGACTAAGAATGAACTCTACATATAAACCCAAACATAAACAAGCTATATAAATGATATTTCTTTATAAAGTATCTATATTTATGTAGTCAATATTGAAAATTAATTGATTTTAAATGTTAGCACAGAGTGTATAGTACATATGCTACTTCTGTTACATCAATAAATATATATTTTTAATCTTTTACTGTAGTTACTGTGTTCAACAGGTATTAAAAATTGTATAGAACACATCACAGCTATATTTCATGAATATCATTGTTTAATACAGGTGTAAGAAAGTTATCATATTTTATTGCTTCTAAGACACATTTATCTTTCTGAAATTAGAATGTTTCTTAAAATTGGTGTCTTATCATAGTATACCTGATAGCATTTTGTTTTAGTGGTATATCAAATAATTATGTCTTATAGTATACAGAATCTCATATTCAGAAATATAGTATTAATAATATTTAAAATTATAATTGATTTAAAGGAGATCAGTAACTTGCAATTCATATAAAATGTCTGAATATGGCAAAAATATTGAGGTTGGATACAAATGATTGAAATTTACAAAACACTAAAAATCTCATGTTTAAAACAAATTTAGAAAATGCTGTGTGTATTGTTTTGTTTTGTATTTGCACTTATGTTTTGTGAGCATTTTCCTATTTTACAAAATAACTCTTTAAAAACATTTTTTAATGGATAGTTAAGTGGATAAATCATGACTTACTTAAATATTTCCTTATTATTTAATACTTCATCTTTTCTATCTCTTGTCATTTAAATTACTTGTTTTTACCAAGCCACAAATATATCCAATTAAACAACAACAACAACAAAATGTTGGCTTCTTTGTAATTTGGCAGATAGAAGCAGAGAGCATCTCAGTGATAAACTGTGAGTAGACAGAGTTCTTGAATGGAATTTTATCCCTATATCTCCAAACCGTCCTCCAGATTTCATCGCACATATTAGATTTCTTGAAGTTAATACAGCAATCCACATTTCCACATATGCCAGTTTCAGTGTCCATTTTCTAGTACCAGTAATCCCCAAATAGACCCTGTTGGTACCAGTCTGTCTGATTTTATCACAACTTGATATTTATCAGACTATTTTTACATTTTAGTGAATATTTAGTTTAATAATAATAGCCAGTACTTGTATGACCAGGCATTATTCAAAATGTATCATAATCATTGATTTACTTAATTCTTATGGCAGTGCTATAAAGTGAACTTTCATATACTGCCATTTTCAAAGGATTTAGTAGGCTTAACAGATAGAGATATTAAGTTACTTACCTGAAGTCATATAGCTTATAGTGGGCAGAGCTGGGTAACTGAAATCAGATACCTAGAATTGGGCTTTTGTCCACAGCGTTACACTACTTCCCAGAAGAGGAATGAACTGTGAATATAGTATCATCTAAATCAAATATATATTTGTGTGCTTTTCCCCACACTATAATCATTGCTTCTAGGAAAAATATAAGCATAAGTTAGATAATTTAATCTAGAGGAGAAGGAGGTATTTATGTATGTTTAGTTCTTTTAGTGTTATATAAATTCCAAGTTCTTCTGAAACATGTTAAAGTGTAAACTGTTCATGAGAGGATATTTGCATTACCTGAAGAGTACCTTGTACTTTCTACTTTGGAGCTGTATATATTTCTAAAGAGGTTTCAGAATATCAGTATGTGTCAAAAAAGTAGAATTTAGATCTTATTCTGGGCCATATATAAGCCTTACTTTGCAGTTAAGTATTTTGATTTAGAGTAGAGTTAATTAAATACTCAAGAGTGTGCACATATTTCAAATGTAGTTTTATGTATTTGGCATGTTCTCACTGAGTTACTATTATATCCCATCAAAAAACTGGAGGATACTATTCTGGGTGTTGTTGCCTATAGTTCTTCAAATTCCATTTACAATACTACCTTTTCTTCTGTCTTCACTAAAAAATGTTAACAGAGTTCTAATTATTTAGTAAAGGTTCTAATTATTTAGCTCCTGAAAAAGATCTAGGTTAACTAAATTCCAAACAGTAACAATTATTACTGAATGGAAGCTTATTTCATATGTACCTTTTGAAAGATACAGGTTAATCATAAGAAAAGTTTAATACTTGGGCATTTTATTCATCTAAAGCTTTTTGGTATTGCTTTTTAATTAGAACTTATTTATATTTGAGTTAGTGTATTTTATAACATTATTCATGGTGATGCATTTTTTTTTCTGTTGTGTCCCTTTTAGGGGCCACCCTATAGCCTGACAGAGGTAAAATTTACTTTGTAAATAAATCGATATTTAGATACTATGACATAACATTATGACATAACATTATGACATACAAAATGTCATTTAAATACAAATTAATAATTTTGTATCAAGAATTTACTTATTTCTGTTTATGACTTAAGTGCCAGTTATTATTTCTTTTTATGGATTTTCTTAATGTAAAAATTTGTCAGTTTTTACCTTATTTCATAGTAAATTATTAAAGATTAGCTAGAAAGCAATTAATAGAATTTTCAAATTAATTTCTAGTTTGAAAACAGCCTTATGTATAAAAGCTATTTTCAGTGTGTAGTTACAAAAAAAAAAAAACTTTATAAAGTAGTTGGGTTTTTAATATTTATCTTGATGTTTTAAGTTGTGTTTTAAAGCCACAATGTATTCTACCCATCATCAAAGTTGTTAGCAAATATAGAAAATTATACTGTACAGGATGATCCTCTACAAAATGATTCATCTTCTAAATTACATAACTGAAATTATTCTTCCCTGTCTTACTGAAATTGGACCTTTGAAGTGCTGATTAAGCCTTTAAGTAGGCTGTTGAGAAGTTAACTTTCTTTTACTTTCAGTAGCAGTAGAAAATGGGATATTACCTCCTTTCAGAATCTCCTTTGAAGACTTCTCCTAGTTTTTTTTTTTCCCCCCTACAGGAACTCCTCTCAGGGTTCTTTGCTTATACCCTAGAAGTGGGTCTCCCTCACAATTTGTATTTTAGGGTGCTTTGTTCAGCCTCCCTGACAAGAACATTTCCTTACTTACCCTATTTCCCCAAACTAAAAATCTCATTTTCTTTGACAACCAAGTTCCAAGTGCTTTTCCCCAGCCTCTGTGTTTATAGTGACCTAGAAAATTTAAATGATTTCCAAAGTATAAAATAATCAGTTAACTGATTCTGTCAAAGACAATCTTCTTAGAACTATTTCTTTTCAAAGAAATATAGTACTTATGCCTTTAGACATTAATAACTAAAAGATGCTACTTCTCAAGAAGCTTTAATATGTTAAGAATGATTCACAAGTATATTACAAAATGAAATTTAAACTGCTTAAATTTAGAATCTCCATTTCTACAGTAACTTAGTGTTTAATATAGGCATCTTCTGTACTGGTTTAGGAAACCTTTCTCAATATGTAATGATTAATATGTAATCAGCCCTTTTCATAAACACATATTTATGGAGTAGAAAACAATTTGCCAGATGAATGCATATGGTAATATGTTGAAGGACTAAAGCTATCCTACTATAATAGTTCTCAGCTCCTCTCTGGAGTCTAGTAAAAGAACTACCAGAAGATCAAAGTCAATAAAAACTTTTAAATGTAATTAGAATGTATTAATAAACAAATTGTATTCAAATTTGGTATCCTGACAGAAATGCTCTGAAGAACTGCTCCTACTTCTGGCTACTTCCAAAGTACCTGTATACATTCTAGATCTACATTGTTTCATTGATATTATAAATTGATATTTGCTAGGTAGTTTAACATTTTGAAACATTTTTTAGTTTTTCAATAAACTTGATTTTTGTATCAAATGGGAACAAAAATACTTATATCATAAATCTTTTGCTTGCTAAAGTAAATGAGAGTTCAAAATTAACTAAAACGCTTGCTAAAGTAAATGAGAGTTCAAAATTAACTAAAACAAAACTAGAATTGTGCTTTTTTTCTTTAAGGTTTAATGCATGTGCACAATAAACTTGTGGACCCACTACACAGTATGAAAGAAGGAAATTGAAGGAGATTGAAGCAAAATTCTGCTTGAAAGAAAACTTTTTTATTAGATGAATTATCAGCTATGCAATATGATAAAATTGGAAATTTTGAAGATTGTAATTTTTAAAATCTGTTATACATTCCATATTTAAAATGCCTCTTTTACACTAGGATTTAGGAAATGTAGTCTTTTAAAATTGGTTGGCTATTTTATTATACAGTACAGTAGCTACATAGCCACCTATAAAACAGCATAGAAATGAAATATCTGCCTGATTAATTTTAGAATGATTAAGTTTTTAAAAAAAGATTCTGAACATCAGGTACCATTTGGGACATGATTAGTGAAATGGATTTTTATTTAATTACAAGAAGACACTCCAAGTTTTCATCAACAACTGTCATGGAAAACCTTTACTTTTGGAATGCTCTTTTTTCTGTGCATTACACACATGCTTTTCTGCATGTGGTTGCCTTAGTCATTTTCCTGCGGTAGCAACTGTGGACATTAATAAAAGTCCTGCTATATATTGTTGGCAAAGAACACTTGAAGAGATGACAGTGCCTAAATGTTTAGTTTACAACCTCTTGGAAAGTGGTTAAGTGCATGCTTTTGCTTACCTTCTTATACAGCACTTTTTTACAGATATGCTTATTTTTATTTAATGACTTGGGTTCATGCCCTTAATAATAGCATCTTGAAAATTATGAGCTTTATACCTAGGTACACACTTAAGGAAATTCTTTTGAAGAATATTTTCTGATTATTGTTAAACTTCACAAATGATTAGCTTTATTCCATATTAAAAATGTCTAAAATTATAATGTGAAATATATATAAAAGGAATTGCTGTAAACTATTTTAGAGTGACATAACTTTGCATAAGTACAAATTAAATATATTTTCTATTTTTACTTCAAATAAAACTTATAATAAATAATTTATCTAAATTTTATTTCCAGAAGTGAAATAAATACTTGCATTTGGGAGATTCCAGCAACTAACAGTATCTGTGAGCCTACATTTCCTTTTGGTTTGTTTCCATCATACAATTACAGATAGACAATACATTTACCTGTAGTTTCTCAGTATTCCATTGGAAGTTAAAGACAAAACACTCCCTGTCCTGTTGATGTTACACATTTTATAAGCCCATGTTATAGAAGCCTTATTTATGTCTGCTTGTCTCTGCGATTGAAATGTAGTTACACTCCTTAAAATATTTAGCAAATAAACTGAAAATGAAATAATAATAAAACTGTTAGTGTAAAATAATGCTGCCTTATTTTAATTATAGATCATGTTTTTAATAGCTTTATAAATATTTAACTATCCAGTAAATCAGTAGTATCTTATACTAATAGTTCTGGTAATAAGAATTGTTTACTTTTAACTACCCTCACTACTTTAGGTCATATGATGCCATAATGAAAAGGCCAACATTGTCTGTTTTTGTGTACCATTCACAGGTATTTCTATGCTTTAAAGGTCTAAAAGAATTTTTTCATTACAGCCACCGTTAGGAGGCTAATTTAGTTATGTGTCCTCTAACTGTTCAGTAAATTGCTCTCTGGCCACAGTAATTCCCTAACTCAGAAGATGTGATGCTCTTAAGAATTTAAAGCCTTTTGAACACATTTCACAAGAAAAATTTAAGTAGTCTTTGAAGAAACCATTGTCTGAATCCCAGCTATGTCAAAAACTGACTGTGAGCAATAAGTGTCAACTTCTTCCTCTCCTTTACAGACTGAATAAAAGAGAACTCAGTACAGTGGCTGACACACAACAAACCTAATAAGTGGTGCCATTTTAATACTCATTGTAGAAATCTTATTTATGTTAGGTCACTTTCCAAAATTTTTTTGAAGAATGACTGACTACAGAATAAAATTTGACCATATAAAACAAGCACAAATATTAAATGGTAGACACATAGTGCATATTATGTGCCAGGTGCAACTTGTGACTCCTTTGCAACAATGAAAGAATAGAACATTTTGTTCTGAAACCATATTAATTGCTTCTCCATTTTATATCTTCTGCCATTTAAATTTAAGTCCTACTATCTTAATTTATAATTATCTCAAATGTAACAATATAAAATTCATCACTGATAGTCTTATTCTGAAAAGACATTTTCCTCATTCAAGTAGAAGACAAAAACCAATGACTAAATCATTTTATTTGCTATGATACATTCTGCATGCTGTCAGTGATTATTAATGAATGAATGTGGAACTAAAGAGCTTTGAGTTAATATAGTGTTTATTGGCTCTGTGATCTCAGGTATGAAAATTAAATTCTGTAATTCATAACAGCCGCTAATACCAAACACTTGTCATACTGCATGAATGAATTCTGAATGTCAGAAATAAGAGACTGCCTCTGCTTTAATTTTAATTTAGATGTACATTATAAACCATCTCATTACAAACCAACATGTCATAAACTGTATGAACATCAAAAGATAAAGCAGATGCCTAGACACTATGTTATTTGACTTTACTTTGTTTAATAAGTGATTCATATGTAGTAAATCATACATATCAGATAAATTGATCCAGCTAACATTTTGACACTTAAGGTGGATTTTGGAAATTCTTTCACTTAAACTACATGGAATATTAATATGGGACCTTGCAGTGAGAGAAAAACATGCATGAAAACATAACAGTTAAAATTCATTATGCTTTCCTACATTGTTCACTCTTCTGAGTATTTAAAATATATTATCTCATTTAACCTGTACAGCCTGTGGAGGTATGCTCCACTTATGACCTCACCTTTACTAAATGACCTAACCTTTACTATGACCTAACTTTTACTAAACAAACTTGAAAACCCTGAAACTAATAAGGAAACTTATTTATTTTCATTTTATTGTTGTAAGTTACTATAAAGAAAAAAATACACAGGTTTTAATTTGTTGAAGTTCTTTATACAGTTTATAATTTATTGAAGTTCCTTATGTTTTCCATGAGTTATTTATTAGTTTGTGTTTTTAGAACTTTTATAAAAGCATCTTTAGGAACTTCAATGTTGCCAATTTTCCTCATCCGTTTTTTTCCTTCTGCTTGTCTCTTCAAAAGTTTCATCTTTCGGGTAATATCACCACCATACTGAAAAATATTTTGAAAAATTGTAAGTCCAAAAAACTTCACAAAATAATAATCCTATAGTTACACAGAGATCACAATAGAATCATAACATTCTTATGAAATTACTGTCCATGAAGTAGACATACGCAAAGTTACCTCTCTAATCTTGCTGGCAGACACTCATTAAACTATCTTTTCAAACAATGATAAAAGGTTTAGTTATTTTGGATGGATATGAAGATTCCCCACAGAAACAGTACTACAGTTATTTATAGCATGTTAGAATTATCAGTCTCATTACCAATTCAACTCAAGGCTTGTAATTTTAAATTATATAGATATAATCCAATATAGAAAGTCTCACTCACATAGACAAAAATGTGCCAGAAACTATACTGAGCATTTAGAAAGAATCATTTAGTTCTCATAATAATTGAGTAATAACTGAGATACAGAAAACTTTGGCAAAACAAGAGAGGTGGATCTCAATTTTACCACTGTAAAAGCCATGGTCTTCAGAATCTTTCATCATATATTAGACCATAAAAAAGTTATCAAATCTACCCTTAGAGTGTGTGTGTGTGTGTGTGTACATATATATGGAAAGTCTTATGAATAAGATGAAAAAATGCTTATGAATGTAATCAAACCAATTACTACGATCAATCTAAAATTTACCTCTTTAAAAAGGAAACCTGAAGATAAAAATAAAGGACATTTATAAAAACCAACATGAAAACCAATATATTTTTACCCCTTTTGACTTAAAACCCACAAAATAGAAATACTACAAAATAGAATATACACTAGATACGTACACATTTTGCCAAAACATTTTTCCTGTAGGGTTTCACACTGTAAGAGAGGAAATTATGTTTAAGTACACATTTCCACTATACTTTTAAAAAGTACTTTTAAACAATTTCTCCTTAATAAAATATTTTAATGATAATGCTATTATGTATATAAAACTACTGTAAGCAAATAAATAGTAGCTCAAGTGCCTTGTATTTTCATTCAGTTAGCATAAAACAGCAAATAAATTCAACATGATTATCAACCAGTATTTTATTAAGAAAAAAAGGCCAAGTTGTGGTAGTTAGGCTTGATTACTCAAACTTCAGCCTATTGTGACCTTAATGTAAGAGTTATATTATTTATGGCTCAACCTAGTAATACTGCTACTACTTAAAACAATTAAAGTGGATTATTATTAGTATTGAATGTGGGTGGAATAGTTAGGAAGATAAACTAGGAAGACATTACAAGATTTAGGCTTTTATGCTGGGGTTGTGGCTCAGTGGTACAGAGCTTTTATAAAACCTATTCTAATTTGAATATATCTGTATCATAGATTAATAATCTATTACTGTAGTATATGAGAAATTTCCAGGTTACTCTAATTTTTAAAAATAGTCCTCCTGCAAAGAATTTTTTTATTTAGTTTTCATATAGTATCAGAATACCCACAATGATTGTAAAAAAATGATTGTATTAAAATCTCTATATAACTGGAAAAAAAACCCAAAACTCCCTTTTACAGATATTCATTAAGATATAGACCTCTATTATTCAAGAATAAAAAAAACTGATTATGCAAATTACTACAGATCACATTAAACATTCAAATATTTAGGATAGGTAAATAATTACATATTTTTCTGTTTCAGAGAAAAACAAACTGTTGGGAAAACCATATGTGCTGGCAGAACCTTAACAC